GTGTGAGAGATTGTCGGTGTATTATCTGTTTAATTATCTCCACCTCTTGTATTTGGGGGATTTTACATGTGTGTGAGAGATTGTCGGTGTATTATCTGTTTAATTATCTCCACCTCTTGTATTTGGGGGATTTTACATGTGTGTGAGAGATTGTCGGTGTATTATCTGTTTAATTATCTCCACCTCTTGTATTTGGGGGATTTTACATGTGTGTGAGAGATTGTCGGTGTATTATCTGTTTAATTATCTCCACCTCTTGTATTTGGGGGATTTTACATGTGTGTGAGAGATTGTCGGTGTATTATCTGTTTAATTATCTCCACCTCTTGTATTTGGGGGATTTTACATGTGTGTGAGAGATTGTCGGTGTATTATCTGTTTAATTATCTCCACCTCTTGTATTTGGGGGATTTTACATGTGTGTGAGAGATTGTCGGTGTATTATCTGTTTAATTATCTCCACCTCTTCCTTCGCTCTCTCTCTCTCTCTCTCTCTCTCTCTCTCTCTCTCTCTCTCTCTCTCTCTCTCTCTCTCTCTCTCTCTCTCTCTCTCTCTGTGCTTGACTATGCTCTAACAATCCTGTTCCATAACGATCTCATTATTTCAATATTTAGGCAATCACCAAACAGACCCTGATCAACAACAGCAAAATAATCAACAATTACAGCAACAATAGAGTTGACACAATATAAGTTCTACACATCAAACACTCTAATCCACTTATTAATACCAAGCATATTCTTCCCTGAGCTCAACCAATAGAGAACTGCTATGTGATGCCCCCACCCACCGCCCCAGCCAGCCAATGAGAATGCAGGACAAGATTACCCTCCCATCTGGTCAGGTTCATTGCCTCTCCGCTCACAGCGCTCGTAAGGACTATATATTGCCACATTGGTAATTTGTATTCACTTCTCTACCTTTGAAGGGGATAAGCTTGACTTCGTAAAATTGATCAGACCCATTGTAGGCGATGAGTCTCAATAACCTGGCTAAAGTATGTTGACCAGACCACACACTAGAAGGTGAAGGGACGACGACGTTTCGGTCCGTCCTGGACCATTCACACAATCGACTTGAGAATGGTCCAAGACGGACCGAAACGTCGTCGTCCCTTCACCTTCTAGTGTGTGGTCTGGTCAACAGACCCATTGTAGTTAACAAACTTTAGAAAGATTATTTCTGTCATGTAATACCCAAGAAAAACTTCAGGACATAGAGAGAAGCTTCATCACTTGTAACATTCAGTTATGTGTAAAAACACTTGTCTAAGGACAGAGAATAGGATACTTCCCTGCTATTTACTTCCTTCTTCGAGACTATGAATTTCTCACAAGCATGCTGGAGCTGGTGCCTTCATTGGCAGAATTAGTGAGGGCCCCTTAACCTTAGAGAAGAGAATCAACGGCACTTGTGCTCATGTACATTGTTACTCCTACTACTAAAACTTTGTTATTGATTTATTATACAAAATAATTATTTAATAAAATGGAACACAGTAAGAAACTGTGACCTGAAACGCTATGCGTGTTAGTGGGTTCACAAGAATGTTAACATTTCATTGCAATGTAATCTCATAAACCCAATGCACCTTTGTGTATTTAATTATATAAATAAATAATTACTTTACATACCTTAGATTTCTTCATAATCCTCAATGTTACACTAAATCAGATTAAACACTTACGCCTGTGTGGATAAGTCAGCATTCATTTAAACTTTGAAAATATTAAACAAAAAAAAATTCATATAATTGTATTTTGACTGATATTATGCGAAATTTAACCTTAAATATAAGTTACTAACATGATTATAATTTTCAGCAGACTAAATATATTTAACAAAATCAATGGGTTACATTGGTATAATAACTCGATATTATTACACACTAAAGATGAGGTCTGCTTAAATATTGTGAATCTAAATTTGAATTAAAAAAAATTCTATTTAAGCAATGTTCTGGAAAGAGGCTAAGCTGTGAATCATAGAAAACGGTCCCTATAGTCTGACGATCAGTGCAAGACTATTGTATACAGTTAAAAATATAATCTTACTAATATTTACTTAATAGATTTTTGTGTGTTTATAGTTTGTTCCGCACATCTGTATCCTTGCTTTCAAACTAATTTTATAGAATATATAAAGCTTTTGTTATTTTCAATTTTAATTCATTGTTCCGCTGTATTCTCTCCCCATATTGGTAACTGTCATCCATTTATTTGTTTTATTAATGACACCCCCTTTACATCTACAAAGAGAGATTGTAAGTTTAGTTTTCATAATATTACTTTCATAGATATCCTTACAATTTATCGAGGTACCATGTACACATATATGACTAAGTTTTCCGTACAAGAGCGTTGCCCTGACAGAGTAACTCCAGAATCCTAAGTAAACAAAGTTAATTAGAATTAAATTAGAATAGGAATGTATTGTATTTAGTAAGATTATCAGATATTCACGTGGTAGCGATCACCTCAGCTTGCACGTCAGCTTCAGCCAACCATTGACGTCATATATGACCATTAAGTTTGTGAATATAACTTTCACACATTCAACATGCTCGTCGCGCCTCACCATCACCGCTAAATGTCGTAACACATCGGAATTTCTGATGTGTTCCTAATTTTTAAATAACGGGTTCCGAGTTACCTGTTTATTGTGCGATTTAAAATAATATAATATATGAATTAGCCTGATTTATAAGTTGCAGAATAAGGATTCAGACTCGACTGAGAATGATTTGAACACAAATTATATTAAGTCAATTACTGAAATATTAATGTTATAGATTATCTTCTTTTTAGATAAAAATATATATGTACATCTGCATAGCGGTAGTTTTAGTTGTAGTAATGGTGGTGATGGTATTGGAAGTGAAGGTAATGGTGGTGGTTTTAGTCGTGATGGTAATGGTGATAGTGGTGATGGTGGTAGTATTGATTATGGTAGTGTTAATGGTGTAATTAGCAGTGGTGGTGGCACTGTTCGTGATGCTGTGGCGAGGCTAACTATCGCCAGTTAGAAAGCATTAACTACGGTACTCATGCCACGGCAGACATTACAAAAATATCTGCCGTGGCATGATCTATCCTACTATCTATCCTATTTTTAGCTAGTATTGAGATGCATGACTAAAATACTGCCGATTTCTACGAGTGACCTCGGATGTCGGGACGGGACCAAGGGTACGGTGGGCATTTCCTTTCTGTGTAGCTAAACTAATGCGTGGGGGAATGGAAGCTGATCGCCCTTGAGTCCCTTGCTGTTTTGATAAACCAGGAACCCAATTACTTGATAAAGCCTTTTTCACGTTCAACATAGACCCAAGGATCTATAATCCTAGAGGGACTAAATTGTTTAGGTTATTCAGATCCCTGCAGGCGAGGAGTCACAATAACGTGGCTGAAGTATGTTGACCAGACCACACACTAGAAAGTGAAGGGATGACGACGTTTCTGTCCGTCCTGGACCATTCTCAAGTCACAATCGACTTGAGAATGGTCCAGGACGGACCGAAACGTCGTCGTCCCTTCACCTTCTAGTGTGTGGTCTGGTCAACATACTTCAGCCACGTTATTATGACTCATCGCCTGCATGCATGTAATATATTTCCATTTAATCACTCTATAGGGTTAGCAGAGAGAAGAAATGTCTGAATGTTCGAGATTGAGGGTCAGATGGTTGAAGCTTCATTCAATTTTGTCCAGTAATTACTGTTGGGTACGTATTAAATATGGACAAATCGAGATTGGTAATTATCAAGAGGAAGCGCTAAGCCATTACGAGTGTAAGGGTACTTTGAAGGGTTGAGGATAAGGATTTGGAATAGGACAGAGTGAAGGAATGGTGCCCAACCTCTTGGACGGTCGGGGATTGAACGCAGAGCTGCAAGAAGATTGACTATCGCTCTACTGTCCCAACATATTTTTACTACTTAAGTTCCCGCTGCGTACACGATGTTTACTAACATGATGAAGAAGCAGGAGTTGTCAGCAGTAGTGAAGAGGTAGCACAAGCTGGTTGTAGTGGGCGGAGTGTTATAACTCACTAAATATCAAACTAGTTAAGAGTTGAGTTAAATGGAGACCAGGACTCGGCACCAGGAAATTCTTTTTCTATGTAGAGTCTGGATGACTCATCCAAGCTGGATATTAATATGAAAGATAATGAGCCTGAGCCTTCTGGAGACTATTCATGGTTCTTTCTCTTGTTCGCAATACGTGCAGTTTGCACGAAGGTTTCATGGTTCACATCGAGAGTGAGTTAGCCACTATCTTAAACTCCTTGTTCACATCTGGGAAGAGTGCAATTTCATCCTGTTAATTAGACCGATCCTTCACACAAGTCAAGAATTGATGAAATTAAATCACTACGATTATAGTCTAGTCAATATTAATTTTCTGATGTTGATTTTGAATGCAACGAAGTACTCTACCGGGGTGTGAGAAGTGGGGCTCTAAAAATACACTAAACTAATTATTTATATCGACTCAAAACTTGGCGCTCACCTCTCCTCTGGAGGGAAGATGACTGGATATTATGTCTAGACATGCACCTAAGGATGAAATAATTATATTCGTCTTTCTTTATAACGAGTTTCTCCAATTTGTAGCGACGCCAAACTATGATAAAAAAAACCTCATCCATATTCATCATGTGATGTAGGAAAACTGTGAGTAAGACAGGTGCTTCAGCTGGATGAGTCTGAGTATGATGTCATAGGCTTCGAGGAAAAGATTTATCATCCGAGCACACCACTACTGTGCCTTGGTTAATTATCATGCATGAGGTGAATCTTTCGGTTACCAGCCTTTATTATATTTTCTAACCAATTTAATTAATTATTCATCCCTGACATACATGCTTACTGCCAACAGATGAAGAATTCATATGTTCTTCACTAACAGATGAAGATGATGAGAATATATTAAGACTTCATTATAAGATAGTAAACATAGTTAAGAGATAAGGCACTAGATGGCACCTCTGCAGGATC